TCTAGCTATATAATTTTTGGTACCCAGGTTTTTATATAGGTACTAAAGAGTTTTTATAGAATATAGACTTCTTGAGCGATCTAAAAAGCAAAATGAATACTTTAGTACCCAGGGTACTTAAAAAGTGTCCCAGAACTCCCAAAATTATTCTACTAAAATACTTTATATCATTTTATTAATTTTCTTACCAGCTATATCATCATTTAAGTTAATTTTATCATCCAGGATCTCTATTGTATCTGGAACATCCTCTTTATTAAAGATATTATTGGCATATAATTCGTCAACAATAGTACAATTACTATGAGGTTTGTCTCCATAAACTAGCTTATAGAGGGTTTTTTTATATGATTTACACCATAAATTATTCATGACAACTACAACTAATCTCAAACCAAATGACTAGTCATTTCGATCAGTTGTTTTTCTCCATTTTTCTAATTTTTGTTCTAAAATACCATTCGCCCGTTCGATGAGACCTTGTGACTGAGAGTGTCTAGAGTGCCCATTGATTATCTTTACAGAGGGCCAAAGTTCAACCAACTCTTTGATAACTTGTACAATGAACTCTTTGCCATTGTCCAATTGCAGAATAGTGGGTGATGATCCAATTAGATGGAAAAGGTCAAAGAGGTACAATGCAGCCTCAATTGGTCTCTTGGATGTGAGTGCCCTCACCTATAAGAATCTACTAAAGTGGTCTCTTATATGACACATGTATTTAAACTCACTATCTGGGATGTAGGATAGATCAATTAGATCCATCTACAGAATAAACATCTAATTAGAAAATTTTAAAAATTTTAATTTAATATCAAGAACAAAATAAAACATACTTGCAGTCATAACAAAAAATTCTTAGCAATTATAGGTTTTGCCACCAAAGGGTGGAACGACAGTTTCCTTGCAGCACAGGCTGTACAATTGTTCACAAACTCTTCCATGATTCCTTGTTTTATATATCTCCATTTTTTACAGATCGATATTCATGTTTGCTTTTGACCACCATGTTGAGTTACTTCACTATGAGTATGACAGAGAACCTCATAAAACCTTTCAGTTATAAGCACAGAGTTTTTTGAAGCCTTTATGATTACTCTGTAATCTCCAGGTATAATTTCCTCTAATTCAAACTTTTTTTTAGCCCAACTGCGTAGGTTTTTATCATACAATGAGGTGTCTTTAGAATTTAATAAAATTGTTTTAATTTTATTTAAAAGTTCATTATTAATTAAGGCCTTTGCTTGTTTTGCTCTTGGAAGATTGGTTATATACTCTTCCACGATTCAATCGAGGATGTTCCTGCTAATAAATGTGTATTTTATCTATAGATAATGAACTTGTAAGGCCAGTTCAAAATAAAATATGTAATAAAAAAAAATAGTAGTGCTAAATAAAGCGACACAATAAGATCAAAGAACAGGTGGCGCCAATAGGAAGTGTAGTTGAGATCAAAGAACAGGTGGCACCAATATGAGGTATAGTTGAGATTAAAGAAAATATAGACCCAGTGTGGACTGATAACATTAAGGTCAAAGTATATAACACTAAGAATAGAGATGGTATTTAGATAGATCAAAGAAAATAAGTGGTACCCAATGCGAAAAGATAGCGATATCCAATATGAAAAGATAGCGACACCCAATATGAAAAAATAGCAACACCCAATGTAAAAAGATAGCGACACCAAATATAGAGAGACAGCGTTAAGAGCAGCACTAAGAGATATAGCATTAAGATAAAGCAATTAAATGACACAAACAAATACCAACATTAAATATGAAAAATGAAAATGGTAGGTACCAAGAACCAAGCCAATATCAAATTAGAAAAATATAAGCCAATGTCGAATGTGGGAAGATACAAAGTTAATGTCGAATGCAAGAAGATGCAAAGATGCAAATAAACGTAAAACTAAAGCCAAACATGAAAAATTGTGAATCCAATTTAAATGCAAAAAGAGGTAAAGCCAACAAACGCAAAGAGAGGAAAGCTAACGAATACAAAGAGAAGAAAGCCAGTGAAAGCAAAGAGAGGAAAGCCAGTGAAAGCAAGGAGAGGAACTAGCGAACACAAAGGAGATAAAGCCAACGAATTCGAAAAGGTAAGTAATGAATGTGATGTAAAGCTAACTCCAGGAAACATCAAAGGTACAAAGCCAAGCTTTAAAAAAGTTTTTTTTTTATACTCTTGGTCATTAATTACATAGTTATTATGTCATAATAATATATTATTGCATCGTAATGACATCGTAATTATATTTTTTCTTATATTTAAAAAAAATTTTTTAATGATAGTCTTGCGTTAGATTAAATCTTACGCATGTCAGATAACCAATCGACAGATGATGTGCATCACCTGAAAATCAGTATCTGACATGCATCAGATTTGATCCGACGCAAGAATTGATCTGAGGCACAACATATATAAACAAAAGGCTGTTAATTTTTTATAACTAATTGATATTGTAAAATTAATGATGACAGTTCTTTTCTGGACTTTCTTTCAAAGGCAACAAATCATTTATTTTGTCTTGATGTGGATTGCATACTTAAAAAAGATCTCTTTTTAGTTTTTTTTTATTTAAAGATATATTTGGGCTATAAGATGATTCAATATTTTTTTGCTTATCAGAATTTCTACTACTAGAAGACTTTAAATACTATTCAAACACCTTCTTTATTTTTGAAAATTTCTATACTATGTTGGTAGCAATTTTTAATATTTGATTGTCTATTAGAATTTCCACTTTTAGCAGATTTTAAATACTATTTAAAGCCTTTTTTTCATCTTTAGAAATGCCTATTTTATATTGATAACAGTTTTTAATATTTAGTTTTCTATCAAAAATTCTACTCTTAGTAGATTTCAAATACAATTCAAATACTTTTTTTTTATCTTTGAGAATGCTTATTCTATTTTGATAGCAATTTTCAATATTTAATTGTCCACTGGAATTTTTACCCTTATCAGATTTTAAATACTACTCAAATGCTTTTTTCTCATTTTTAAGAATATCTATACTATTTCAATAACAATTTATAATGCTTAATTGTCTATAAAAATTTTCACCCACAGAGGATTTTAAGTACTATTCAAATTACTTTTCTTTATCTTTAGAAATACCTATACCACTTTGGTAATAATTTTCAGCATTGAATTGTTCATTAGAATTTTTGCCATTTGTATATTTTTTGTTAACCTTGTATATTGAATTTAGTCTATATTTTTGTTTTTTATTTGGGCTTGAATTTCTATCAAATACTATCAACTCTGTATAATATTTATAACAAAGTTGATTATTTAAATTAAGCTCAACCTTCAAATTTAAAGCAGCCAGGCTTTGCATAATTTTGGACAAAAGATTTGGCATTAATATATGAAACCTTTCTTTAAGACCATGTTTGCCACATATTGAACAAGGATCTATGTTTTTATATGGTCTACCTGCTGGCATTATTACTAGTAGAAATTTTGAATCTGAAAAAAAAATTTTGAATTTATGAATCTAGGGTCTTGTTGAATACAAATATAAAAATTCAAAGTGTATTATATTTAGAAAAAAAGGTATAGGTTTATTTTACAAAGTCCTATATTTACTATTGTGTTAAATAAATCAACCAATCAGCATTGATTTTGCAATATCACATTTTTTGTGATTAGAGTCAAATCCGCCCATATGTCAAGTGACACTAATTAATCGAGAGTTCTCCGCTACGCTCCAGACAATTACTAATCAGGTGGGATTCTCTTATGTCAAGAAAATCGAGCTACAAAAATTAGCTCGGAGCCAATAAAAATTGCAGAATCTTGCAGATCTTGCAGATCTTAACGTAAATCTAAACAAACGCTAAAAATAAAGAAATCATAAATAAAGCAAAATTTTACTATGGAAACCGGCCTTAATTTCTAAGTAAAAAATGCGTAGCATTGAATTTTACTTATAAAAAGAGTTTTTTTATACTAAAATAAACAATATATGGATAAAATATTATCAAAATTGGGTGTTATATCGGATGTAGATCATTTTCTTGACATAAGAAAACTCATGCAGAGCAGAGCAGACCTGACCTGACCAGACTTTCACAGAACCCTCAAAAATTTGCAGATGTGTTTTTAAAAGAATGTGCAATTTTTTTGCTATTATGTCAGAAAAATTAAAAGTTTCTTGTGGATATATTATAATCGATTTTGTTATTTCTTGATTCATGGTTTTTTTCTGGTCAGATTTTTTACCATTCTGATTAATTGATAATCTAGATTTTTTCTTTTTCTTTACTTAATAGGAAGCAAATCATTTTTCGTACAATTATAAGTGATCTGTTGAATATTAAAATTTATTGGTTATGCTGTGTTTTTTCTTATTCTATTCTATGATTATATAATAATATACATATTGCATCTATCGATGTGAACCATGTATACTTAATTTATGTTTTTTTTTTTAGCATGTAAAAGAATTCATAATCAAAATTTATTTATAACCAATTCGCTCGATCCAATACTACAATACGTATTAAATATATAAATATTACTATATATAAACATATTTACTATTATATATTGATTTTCAAATCAACCTCACTGCATTTTAATCAAATCTACAATGTAAATATTAATTTTTTTCGATTAACTACAGTACATATTTATGTGATGTACTATTTTATTAAAGTTGTACAATTTTTTCTCTTTTTAATAAAAATTTACATTCGTTGTTTACAAATGCTTTATCTTAAGATAAGGTGATATTTCTAGTTTTTCAAATATATTTAATTGCATCTTAAATCCTGGGAATATGTCTTGATAATATGCCACAACTAATGAGGCTATGAATTATATAATATGACTCATTAAGAGACAATAAATGACTAACTCGCGATAAAGATTAGTCACAATTAATACATAAAAAAGAAATAACTAAGTATAATACACAGGCAATGTGCTGAAAGGAAAAAGCTAGATATACAACACGGGTGGTATATTGAAAAAAAGCTAAGTGTTAGATCGGGCTCAGATTAACAATAAAAAAATGTAAAGTTGTAAATGAGTCATAACATGAAAATATTAGTTAACTTAAAAACCTTTTTACAAAAATCCATGAAAATTAAAAAAGCCTTGGTTGTAAAAAAGTA